GAAAACTTCTCTTTTCTCCTCATTTTCTAGGTATGAGTTACTAAAATGAATGTTAAAGATGACTCTCTGGTGACGATCTATCTGATATTAATACAATATAAGTAGGTCTGAATATTATTCAAATATGAATCCCAAGTGCTAGGAAGCTCTATGAAAATAATTAGCTTAAACAGATTAAAACAAATATTCAAGTAAATACTTTCTTGAGAGCAGGTCTACATTCTCAAATAAGTGTACTCCAGTTAATTTCTCCTCAATGCGTCCGTATACTTTCTCACAGGTATGGCTGAGTGATGAAGTAAACTTATCTTTTCATAATCAACAGATGGTTGCCCATGAGTACTGAATAAGTTACGTCTTACTCCAATTAGCATTTGTGAAGTAAATAGGGATGCTCTATACATATATCCTCTAACTGCTTCCTTTCCAGCCTCAAGATGTCTGTCAGCCATTCTCTCACCACACTGAGGCAACAAAGACACTTCATAACTAACGTCCCCAGCCAGTTAGGGAAGCTTCATCTTTAAATGGAGGACTTCTTTCCTTCCTTCCGTTCACAACTGCAGAGTTCTTTCAGCGTTAAACCAACTAGTACCTAATAAAAGCAAACAGGGGCCTCTCCAGCCTGAAGAAAATGCCATCCTCTTTGGAGGGTCTCGTCTTGATCCTTTGCTTTCCTTAATGACCTCACGAGGGCCACTCTGATGATTATGAGTACCATGGCTAACATCCCACACCTGTGGCCTAGCCAAAGCATAAGAGTCCAATTTGACTGTGATAATAAATAAAATCTTGTCATACTATTACAGGATGCTTGGCAAGGACAAGAATTAAGGCACCTTTATAACTCCCAAAGGAATCTGGTGATATTTCTAACGTGATCTCGCACATCATTCTGTCCTGCCTGACCTTGCTTGTATCTCCTTCCTGAATTATAGCTTGTGTCGGCTACCCTCTCCTCCTTCCACAGCCTCTCCCAAGATGAAGTATTGCTGACTTGAAGAAAACAAACCTTCTTTTTATTCTTTGAGGGAAAAAAAAGTGGGTTAAAATGCCCTCAAAGTCACACCATTTGTTTTCTGTAGAACAGTTACTACCTCCATTAGGTTAAATGTTGTGTCTCGCTTTATGAAGTGAACACTGAAGACTTCTTAGAGGTTAAAAAGACTTCCTCACAAAGTGTCCAGCTCTAGTCCTTAACACCTGGGGCGCAAAAAGTCAAGGAAACATTTTGTATTCACCAAGTGTACCAACTTACCCTCTACTTTTTCAATGGTGACTTGCTTTCTTCTAGCACCCACTAGGGACAGCTACCTCTCAGGCACTTCATGAATCTATGCAGAAAGGAGTTGTTTGTTTGTTTGTTTGTTTGTTTTTTATTTTGATGTTGTAATAGCATTGCTCATCTCTCCAGAGAAGTTTCACAGCTTCTGTCTAAGGGATCCAAGGAGATCACACTTGCAGAGCGACAGGCACACTTCAAGGACATTGTTCAGGATGAAAGTATTAGTGTCACATGGGAATAGCAGGCATGCCTGAAGGACCTCCAAAGGCTATTTCCATAGGATGATTCAGGGTGACTGTTTCTTGTGAGTATCCCAGTTTCTGCATGTGGAAAGCAGTCTGATTGTGATCACCTCCAGTATTCTGTGGTGCTAGACTTTTTGGCTGCCCTTGTCTATATATATTATTAACTGAAAGGTAATGATGAAGTATGACCTTCCCAAGAGGAGATTTGCATTTGAACTTACTTCTGAAAGCCTAGTCATAAAGAATTGGAAAAGTAACAAATGGAATTCAAGCCCCCCTTAAACCGAGCCCTGATCTGTAGTTTGAATTTCCTTGTTACCAGTACCCTGCTCCCCCTGAGCAGCCACTTCCTCTTCAGAGCTGTGGCCCATATACAGACCCAAAGTCTTTTCAGTTTCTTTTGCAGACCCAAGATAAGATAGCACTCTCAAAAGGCCTTGCAATGTTCTATTAGGGAAAAAAAAAAAAAAAGGACAGAGAGATCCAGGAAGAAAGACGCAACCAAACTAAAAAAGAGTTTCTATTCTCCACAGTAAGCTTGTCCCTCTCAGTTTGAAGAGTGCCTTGCTGGCACAGCCTCTGGAAGCACAGCAGACAACCAGCGGGTCTGTCTAGTGGCCCATTCCTGAGGGACAGATCGGTCCTTTCATAGCTGCGTGAGGCCTGCCGAACAGCCATTGCTGATTAATCTCAGGCTTGTATATCATGCATCCACAAAGACTGTTTGGGCATTTCATTCATCCTTTCTTGAACCTCAGAGAACAGATAGCAGGCTTTCCACAAACGATATAGTGTTTTTAGCCATGTGGAGTCAGGTGGGCCTTGGTTTGATGTTGTAATTGATTTGGATATGAGGTCCCTTTACTGGGAACCGCATGAATATGGTGACCGTTTTCAGCAGCCACACTAACTAGTGGGCCGACAGCGTACTGAGGGAAGCATGTGGGAACAGAGGTCAGGCACATACATAGAGAAATAAGAGAAGAACAGCACAAAGGACATGATATTAGAGGAGTTTTGCTGGAAGGTATAATCCTTGCAAGTGTAAACTCAAAGCAATATGGACACACAAGTTTGAAAATGTTCACAGGAAAGGATATGAGACAGGAGAATCAGCTTCAAGTCCTTACAAGACTCAAATAAGAAGATAACAAATTTACTCATTGTGTCCCTGGAGGCTGGAGGGAAGGCCAGTAGATAAAAGTAATAGTGTTTATAGGAAAAAACGTCTTAATGCATAACTTCCTGGTAATAAGAGAGGCCGTTCTTCAACATTACAGAGCAAGTGTTTAGGAGACTCTCTGAGACTTACCTCCTTGGAATCCCACACCATTCTCCTGAGTCATGAGGTGACTTGGCCCCCATTGAATCCCATGACTCTTTGCTCTTTCCACTACCTCTCTCTTCACACAGGTAGCTTAATGTGTGGAGGCCACATGTGTGACATTGGGGTGATAAAGCAATCTATTCCTCAGGTAAGAGGTTGGCATATATGAGCTCTGAAGGATTTTTATCACCCTTAGCATCTGTGTTCTGTGGTTTTACAGAATCGTAAGTGGGCACCCCAGGCTTGGGGCTTATCACCTCCTTCGTGACATCACATTTTCCTCTTGCTTATCGCTTTGAGACACATAATAACTGTCTTGGTTTATTCATGTGCTATCACTAGGTCTTGTAACTGAAATAAATCATCCCTAATCAAGGAAGGAGTGGTCCAGACAGGCACAAAGCCTAGTAGGATGGAACACCTGCTGAAGATCTGGGTTGGTTCCTCCTGTGTGTGGGCAGTGAAGTAGCTCTTTCCCAGCATCCAGCAAGGCAGTAAGTGATGCCCTCACCGTGGGCTGCCCACATACTTGCTGGGTAGCATCCTACACGTGTGATGGATATTATTAAGTTTATTGCAACCTTATGACAAGGAATTGGTCCTGCAGCCACATTTTACCAGTATAGAAGTAGACAAGTAGCTAACACACAGTCACACATCTAGTAAGAAGTTAACAGATGTGCTTGTTCCCAAATATGGGCTCTGTTATGGTGAGCTGCACTGTCTCTCTGCAGGGCTGAACGTCCTTCTGAAGAAAACATAGGATCAGGACAAAGCAGCTAGGCATACAGGCTTGCAGTTACTCTGCAGTGGACTCTCCCCACTTTATTTCCCTGTTTTTAACCCCAAATGCTATGAATCTACAAACTAAAGATAAAATTGGGGGAATTTCTCATTTTAATTACGGTCATCTCTGATTATCATTTATTTTCGTATTGTCAGATACTGACATATATAAATTTAAGGTAAGCAAACGTTAGTATTTTCTGCCATGGTTGATCTAAAAGACCAACTTCTGACAGGCACCCAGGGTCCTGGGAGGTTGGTCGGCTTCCCTGGCCCAGCTCCCACTAGGAATGTGTCTCCTGCACAGTCTACGAGGTTGTCAGGCCCTCCCCATCTGAAGGGCTCAAGAGACTTCCAGAAGCACTGTCTGTACAAGACATGAGTTCTTCCCAATCCGTTAGGCTCTGTAAAATCACAATGTTCATCATTTTTGTTTTCCCCTTGGCTTGCCTTTTCTTTTCTCTCTGAATGCAGACAAAGACAGAAGCTTAATACCCAAGGAGGAACTCTACCCAAACTGATGTTTTCCTTTTTACAAAAAAGTGGGCCTTTTTTGTTGTTGTTGTTGTTGTTGGTTTTTCGAGACAGGGTTTCTCTGTAGTTTTGCGCCTTTCCTGGAACTCAAAGAAAATATACAAATTTGAGTATTCTCTTTTTTCTCCATTTAAAATGTGCTAAGGACTTTTATAGTGAAAGTACCCCTAGGGCAGTAACCTGGTGTTAGTAGTAAGCTATTGGCCTTACAATGATGTATTTGGAGAACTATTTGAATTTTGTCATTTGAATAAGAGGCAACTCACGTTCTTATCGTACTGATTCAGTAAAAGCTATGTTGTGGTGACCTTGATTCTTCCATTCCAGGGCAATACTGAGAAATAAATGAATTTTGTAACAATTTAAAGATCAAGGTTGCCCCATTTACATTTCAGCACTCCACTATAAGGTTTCTATCTGTACATCTTTTTGGTCCTACAGTTTAATCCTTGCAGAATTCAAAGTTGCTAATATTATATGTTTTTTATACATGTCAAAGGGCATGCATATCCCTTATCTGATTTGCTTATTGAAAACAAAAGCTATGCGTGTATAGTGGTGTGTGTGTGTGTGTGTGTGTGTGTGTGTGTGTGTGTGTGTGTGTGTGTGTTTTCATGGGTGTGTGGGCACACCTGTGTGTGCATATGGAGGCCCAAGGTTGATGACAGATGTCTTCCTTGATCGCTCTTCATGTTTTTCTTGAAGCAGGGTCTCTGTTGAACCCAGAGCACAAAAATCCCAGCTAGTGTAGCTAACCAGCTTGCCCCAGATATCCCTGGTCTCCTGAGTACTGGGATTACAGGTAGCTGTCACACCCGCTTACCTTGTCTATGGGCGATGGGGATTTGGACGCTGGTCTTCAGTTTTCTGCAGCAATCATCACTGAGACACGTCCCCCACCACAAGAGCTATTTCTTACGAACCACCAATATCTTAGGGTCCTGTAGAATACCTAACATAAAGCTTAATAAAATTGTCTTCAATTGTGTCAAAAGTAATTAAAGAGCAATTGGTTTAATGAAAGATGATCCAGATCAGAGAATGGTCTTTGTTGATTGTTCTAACAGCTCCGATCTTCAATCAACTCCTCCCTGTATGTATTAAAAAACATCACAATGAGATGAAAGAACCCATTGTATGCTGAGCACACGTCAGCCCATAACATAAACCCATTTGTTCTGTGCTAAATACCGGCCATGGGAAACTCCACAGACAAGTATAGTACCTATCACAGAGATGTATAATCCAACACAGAAGACACACGTAGGAATCATGTGTTTAACACTGGAGGTACACACTTCAGGAGAACATACTGGCAGTCAGTTGAGCTGATGGGGCTCATGGTCCTGGGAAGTGACTTAAGTTGAACCCTAAGATGGGTAGAAGTGGGCTGATAGAGGTATAGACAGCAGGGAAGAGTGCCAGAGAAGACGAACATACATATGAAGACTTTGAAGAGGGAAATAGCACAAAATTTGGCTTTGGAAACACAAAACAGGTCTGAGATCAAGGTAATACTATTTCTACAACACACAAACAAATTTCTTTTTCATAAACCTTAAGAATTTTTTTAATTTAAGGGAGGATATCTATGCTTTGTTAAACCAACTATGAAAGGAAAATTATGAAAATTACTCATAGTGTCAAACTTCTTAAATTTTGTTATTTATAACAACATGCATAATTCAATTATGAGAGTTCATTTTTTGTTAGAAGTGCATCAAGATTTCTATATGTAAGGTATTCCAAGGTGAACATCTATTATTTATTATTACAGACATATGTCTGCACTAAATTATCCTGAAATTTAAGGCCAACACGTCCCCTCTCTCTTCAATGCACTGTCACTGTATGCTTTCATGTGTTTATTTTAGAAAGTAACTATAGAGTGGGAGATTAAGTCTGTCACTCTAATTTTTAACAAGGCTGATACAAAAGTGCCGTTAGATCACCCATAGCACTGTGGAATGTACATTCTTTAGAAATGGTAGGACGAATAAAGGATATGTAAAAATAGCCATTTTTGATTTTTTTTTCAGAGAACCTTCCTCTTCTCCACAGATGTATACTTTTACGGAAACTACCAACTAATGGTGTTTTGCCTAAGATCCATGCAGGCAAAGTTGTATTCACTAGGGAGCTTCCCAGAGAAGTCATTTTCAAATAATAGAGAAAAAAAAAGAGCACACGTCAGCAAACTAATTTATGCTACATCAATTTTGCATACCCAGAAAGCATGAAACTTTAATGTGATCTCACCAAAGTCAAATAAGCCGAACAGAAGTTACCAAAACAGGCTTGGCCTTTCATCTAAACAAGCTGATGTCACACTGGGTTTTGTTCCGAAAGGGCAGAGTGGCCATGCTACTCAATGCATGTGGTGTGGCACAGCGTAGAACTACAAAAGGCACTCAAAGCTAAGTGTCCGGGAATTCCGGGGTGATTAATGGGAAGCTTTATTTCATATCAGGATAAAGAAACAGAGAGAAAAAAGCCATAAGCTCATTTACCAACTGTAAAGGTCACAAACGAAATGATGGTGGGTGACGTGGCTGTGTCGAGAGGCTCCTAGGCAACGCAGAAAGCCGTGGCAGAGGCTCCAGGAGGCAGTACCTGGGGGCTGCCAGCCACAAGAGGGCTTAAGCCAAAGGAAAGGGCCACGGAAACTTAAGCCCCTCATATCCTCAGTTCTACTCGAGGACCCTATTTTCTCTCTGGGACTTGGATTCTCAGTTGCTTATCGCCGCCTGGGGGGACAGCCTCCAGCAGCACAGGGTTCAAAGGCAAATCAGAAACAATCAATTCTACTTTAAGCCTTTAGGGTACGTATCCATCCATCACTTGTTTTTTTTTTTTTTTGGTTTTTTGAGACAGGGTTTCTCTGTGTAGCTTTGCGCCTCTCCTGGAACTCACTTGGTAGCCCAGGCTGGCCTCGAACTCACAGAGATCCGCCTGGCTCTGCCTCCCGAGTGCTGGGATTAAAGGCGTGCGCCACCACCGCCCGGCCCACTTGTTTTTTGTTTTTGTTTGTTTTTTTTTTTAATATCTGGAGGTTGTAGTGGGTACCTGTTCCACCTATGACCTTGAGGTACCAGCCCCTAGGACATGGCCTCAGGGCTAGCATAAGACCTGAGGGGCACGCATGCCGTTCTCTCTTCTCTCCCTCGTGGGCTTGGACAGTATGGACTGATTCAAGTGGCAAAAGCCTTCCAGGACTCTGCAACAGATTTGCCTTATCCTGTTTAGTGCGTTGTTTTCCCCAATTTATATCCTAATAAATTCCCAAATACTCCTTAAGCAGATCCCTGTGGATTTCTCGCTATAGGAGATTGAGGGCAAAAATGGGTACAAGTAATTAGTCATTACCTTTGGTCATCAACCAATCCTAGCAAGAGAAGTATGTTAGCTAGTAATAATTGAGCTGCTTTGATTTTGTTCCCGGACCTTAAAGAGTTCTGAATTCAACTATGTACCTTTCTAAAACTTTAGATTACCTTCTTGGATTTTTCACCTCAAAGCTATTTGACAAAAACATTTTAGTCTAACTTTAAGTTATTTTCAAAGCTTTGTTTCAGCTGTGATACACTCCAAATCCTGTGAACACATCTGCCAACAATAAGGTTAAAGGAATTTAAGCTAGCTGGGCTAACTGGGACTCAACTGTTTTTCTTAATCATTAACCTAAGCCACAGTCTATAGGGCTCTTCAATAGAAACTCATGTGTAGCAGGAATCTTAAAGAGTTCTTATTAATAAAATCAAACCCGAAGCCAGTTATTGGGGTGAACACTGGATGATCAGAGAAACAGAACAAGCCACAGCTATCTCACCTTGCCAATTCCTCACTTGGTCCTGTTTCCTCAGACTGGAAGCTTCTGTGTCCTCATCCCAATGGCTCTCAGCTGAACTGCTGCTAGAAGCCTGAATGCTTAACCAGGCAAATGCTTAACCAGGCAAATGCTTAACCAGGCAAATGCTTCTAGTTTCTGGTCCTCACGCCTTATAAACCTTTCTGCTTTCTACCACCACTCCCTGGGATTAAAGGCTGCTTTCTGGAATTAAAGGCGTGAGTCACCATGCCTGGCTGTTTCCAATGCGGCCTTGAACTCACAGAGATCCAGAGGGATTTCTGTCTCTGGAATGCTAGGATTAAAGGCGTGTGCTAACATTTTCTAGCCTAAGTATCTTGTGGCTTTTCTGTTCTCTGACCCCAGATAAGTTTATTAAGGTACACAATATTTTGGGGAACACAATACCACCACACTCATGTGTTGTAGCAGTGTGACACTTCCTTGTTTATATTTTTCATCATCAAAACTCTATTTAAACTAACATTATTATGATCAGTTAGACAGTACATCTTAGGAAGAAATTATCTTTATAATAATCCCCAGGTAAAAATGCCCAGTAGAATGGGATGTTTCCATGAGATAAATACACTACATTACAGGCAGTGGGGCTCTCCCCTCACCCATTCACACCATGCCAGATACAAGAGAAAGATGGCAGCAGCAGACATGTAAAGGCAAATCAGAAACAAAAGACATTGGGAGGGGGTGGTGTCTATAGACTTGGGGCCTTGCCTATCAAGATTCACCCATCAGGGAGCTGCCTCCTGGTGGGCTGACACTGAACTCACAGGCTTCGCTTCTTGACTGTGTCTACCCTCACTGCTCATGGAATCCCCAACTCAGGCCTTAGGGAACAATAGGACAGAGAAATGGCATTGCCTACTAATTAGCACATTCCTCAACTGAGAGTCAAGATACTGGGCAGAGCCACGGCCATTATAGTGCTAGGGAAGAGACTCCAATGTGATTTACTTCAAGCAAGATTCTTGACAACTAACCCTAAGAGTATGTGGCCTCAAGGGGTGTGTGAAGGATGAGCAAGAGTTACCAAACCTCTCTTTCATGATCTCCATAACATCAGAATACTGGATAAGTGGGAGTAGTCTGCACATTTAAAGGTAAATGTTCATATCATACAGGCTTTTCTGTGCACACTCAGCTGTTTATGTTAGTGGTCTTGAACATGACCCCACACAAGACTGGTAAGTAAGAATCGCAATTAATATCAGCAGAAATCAAAACTTTGCCACAATTTCTAAACCTTAATCCTTCCCTAAATTTTCACAATCCATTCAGTTAAGGGCTACAGGGCCACCGGGAAAGAGAGTAGAAGAGATTCGTGATCAATAATACAAAATTGTAAAGCTTAGATTTCATTATGATAAGCACAGAAAGATTAACACAGTCATCTCTCAGTAGCCTGGAAGATTGGCTCTAGGATCTCATCAACAGATATTAAAGCCCATAGGTACTGGTCTCCCTTACATAAGGTGGGGTAGTGTTTGCATAAAATTCATACACATCCTCCTGTATGATTAAAATAATCTCTAGATTATTTATAGTACTGAATACAGTATAAATTTGGTGTGGACTTGTTATTCTGAATTGTTTAGGGAACTGTGACAAGAAAAATTAAAGCCCATACATGTTCACTACAGGTGCAATTTTCTGATTATTTAGAATTTTTTTTGAGATTATAATGTAATATTGTTTCCCCACTTTATTTTTCCGCTTTCAACTATTCCCAAGCACCCCTCTGGTTACTTTTATTTTTATTTTTTTAACTGAAGTTGGTTAAAGCCATTGATGAAGAACCCTGGGGTATGGTTGGCACACAGTACTCAGGAACTCACAGCCTCCTTCTTTCTGATCCCACATCCCTTCCCCTGAATCTTTCTAAAGAGGTCAATGTGTTGTGAGGGGTGGAATTATCTGGAGACAGTAGCAGGATTTACACTGAAAGGAACAAAAAGGGATTAGCAAAAGGAGAGTGAAAGGAAGGAGGAAATATAAAGAGACCACCACGGGGAAGGGATGTTTGTCAGAGGTGGATGAGTGAAGAGAAAGTGGAATTCATTTCTCCGTGCAAAAGCCCTGCAGGGCCCATTTCCCATGTCTTTAGTAAATATTCACAGGCCTTCGCAAAGCTTCTGCAGTCAGATGCGAGGAATGTGCAGGAATGGCTCAGCTGCAC